GGGGGGGTGGAGGGGTGGATGGGGTGGTACTCACATATATGTATACACGGCAGAGGATATATTGTAAAGTTCAATATTTTTTTGAAAATTGGGCTTCCTGTTTTCCAACCATGTGCTACAACTCTCCCCAGTTTCCCCAGTATTTACAGAATTCAGAAAATGTTGACGTTTGATTTTTAGTCGAGAAAAATCATTATTTTGTCGTATTTTTTTCCCGCTCTAAAGAATGTGAGAGCTCTTTGTGAGTTCCTTGAAGTATAGAGAACTTAGGTTTTGATTTTTGTTCAAAATGAGTTCAAATTACGCGAGAAAAATGGCGCTTTTGCAGGCAAGGATTTTTGGCAAGTTGACTCGACCGGTCACTAAACAGTAAGTGAAATCTTTTGAATTATTGTTCGTGTATTATAAAGATTAGAATAGCTAGATTTATTATTAATGTTTAATATGTGAAGTTTATTCTCAGTTTTTGAAGTTTAAGTTATCCTTTTTGTTATGTAAGAATTATTCAATGTTTTAGACACCCCCCTTTAAAGTGCACCTAATCCCTGGTACTTTCAGTATTGATTCTGCATAAAGTGAATAGTCGAATGGTGAAATATTTCTTTATTTGAATGTTGAAGTTATGAAGGTTTATACTTCCAACATGTTACTAACTGTGACGTCACCCCAGGCTTCATTGAATATACAAATTTTGACAGGTTCATACAAACAGTTTTTAAAAAGAATCATTATTATACTCAAGGTTTCCACAATGTTTATTGTAAATCAGATGTCTCATAATGGCTAGTGTTTGGTATTAAAAATTAAAACAAACAAACTCTAAAGCCTGGGTTGATGTCACAGTCAACAATGTAATGGAAGTATAAAGCTTCATAACTTAAAGACGCAACATTCAAATGAAGAAGTATTTCACCATTCAGCTTTTCACTTTATGTAGAATSAATACTGAAAGTATTGTATCGGGGGTTAGGTGCACTTTAACCATCACCTCAGCTATCAGTAGCTCTCTTTAATACCCAAACACGTTTCTCATTCTCCTTTT